ATTGCTTTGTTGATCGGTGACCTGGTTCACATGCTGGGATTTGCCCTTGCCTTTGCCGCTTCTGCAGTCACGAGCGTAATGACCAAGCTTGCCACAAGTAAAACACTCAACAGCTTTCTTGCCGCCTTGCTTGCCAGAGTTGTGCTTGCCCTTGCCCTTGTCGAACTTGCTCTTAGCTGCCTTGCCTTTAGACTTGCCCTTCTGGTTCTTCCCGTTGACGTTGCCTTTGGAGGTGATCGAGTCGATCTCCATGGGTTGAGGACTATCCAGGGACTTTGTGGTTGGAAGGGCCAGGCCCGTGGCATTGGGCTGCCACCGAGTGGTTGAGCGTTCGTACGCGATGACTTGCTCTTTCAGCTTCTGATATGTTGTTTCAGAGCTGAGACTCATATGGATTTGAACCTGAAGAGGGGATGGACAAGCTTGAACCAGAGTCGAAATCTTCAAGTCTTCGTTGTACTTCGACCCTGAAACCCTCTCATACTCCCGCACAACCTCCTCGTACTTGACAAACTGCCAAAGAAACCTTGGGGTCGAACTTCACATTGGCCAACTGGTTGGCCAACGCAAGCTGCCGCGGTCTTGTAGACGGCTGCATCTCCGTCACCAGGATTCGCCAGCCCTCGTAGCCGTTGTTATGGGTCACCGCTCTGATCAGCTTAGCCGGCCTGTGTCGCACAAAGCTTTGAAGGATGGCGCACAGCTCCAAGCTCCGCCTGCCAGCCGCTGCGTCGATGGTGCCCATATCGATGGGCCTGTTCGGATGGCGCTCCACCTCGTCCAAGTCGATGATGAAGCCAGGGTCGATCACGCCCAGGTAGTTCCGCATGCCAAATTTCCACTCTGTCCACCCGTCGACTTCAGCATCGCGGGTTTCTGGCCGGAACACATCCGGCTTCTGCACCAAGCTTCTCAAGAGGTCCGTCCGCCTCCTTGACCCCGAGGTCTCCAGAACCTGCTGCAGCAGTTGCTGCCTGTGCAGCGGTTGCAGCAGTTTGCTGCGCCATGGTGACCACAAGAAGAGCGGGCCAGCAAAGCCTGGCTCCTCCAAGACCACCAACAAACTTGTAGAAGCCCTCGTACGCGACGCACATGTTTCATGTACCATGTAAAACCTGACATGTGCTCAAGCAAAATCATGCCATGCACAAAGTAATCATGAAAATGGGTTTGCATGTTCTAACACATAGCCATGGTTGTGGTCACCCCCCATGCCAAGGCTCCAACCACAACGCCAAACTTCACAAAGCGAGACTTCATGACCGCCATCAGCATCATCTTGTGAGACCCTCGGTGTTGTCAGGTCTTTTTGGAGAGCGGTCAAAACCAGATTGCGCTCCTGACTCTCCAGATTGGCATCAGTCAACAGCATCCAAACTTGAATGAATTCAGGGACCACTTATCTTGGGACCACGGACCATTCTGCTAAGAACCAAACCCCCAGTACCATGATCCCTGTTGCCACTGATGGCTTGACCATCCAGATGCCCAGCTGCTCTGCTAATCTTGTTCAGAGGTCTCTGAAGGAGTCGGTGCTGTCTCAGTTGCTGCTGGAGCAGCAGCTGCCGCTCCAGTCTCTGACACCGCTTCTCCCCCAGATTCGCTAGGGACCTCCACTTGCTCCACCTGAGTAGGGGAACCAATGCTCTCCACTGCCACGTCGCTCCCGAAGGGAACCCAGTTCAGGAAGATGCCCATCATGACCCACACGAACGAAACCATCACGCTCTCCGCATCAGAAGTGTCTCCAATCAACAGCCCATTCGAAGGTTGGATCATCAACATGCTGATTACCGCTCTCAGGGCACTGGTACTGGGGAAACCTTTCTTCACGCCATTCACCACTATCATTTCCTGAATCTGATCTTGCCCTGCAAGAAGTCCAGAGTCTAGAGAAACAAAACCCATGAGACCCAGCAACAACTGCTGATACCGTGATTCTTTGTGCCGAGGTCTGGTGGACAATACTTTGCCCCAATGGGCTTCTCAATCACCAACCCTCGTGATGCAGCGGACTGAAGCCAAAGAAACGCAAGATCTACATGGCGTAAGCGACCTGACCCTTGTTTGCTAATGATGGCCTTTGCTGCATTGTTGTCGGTCCTGTGGACAAGCTTCACGGAGTTGCCCGTAACCTCTTCCAGCAAAGATTTCACGAACAGGTCGTCACAGCAACCAGCAAACGAGGACATGTACTCCGCTTCGCAAGATGATAGGGACAAGGACTGCTGCAACCTAGTGCTCACATACACGCAGTTGCCGTTCAGGTACAAGCTATACGATGACACACTCTTCCAGGAAAAGTGAGAAGAAGCCCAATCAGCATCTGTGATACACTCTCAAAGGTGGCCTTTACCGAAGCTTGCCTCCTTCTCAGCACTCAATTCGACATCCACTTCTCCGAAGTTGCGAAGTCGCTCTTCAAAGTCGTGCCTGGGCTCGTCTTTGACAA